ATTTTAAACTAAATAAAAATAAAAATACAATTATCAGTATTTGTGGGTTGCAGCGAAAGCAGCTGTTACAGCAAAATTTATAAGACTGAATGAATATATTAGAAAAGTGGAAGGATTTAAAATGAATAATGCAATCTCCAACTTTAGAAAACTAGAAAGAGTATATTATATCCAAAGTAAGCAGAAGAAAAAAAATAAGAATTAGAGCAGACATCAGTGAAATTAAAAATAGGAAGTAAAAAAATTATCAAAACCAAAAGGTGGTTATTAGAAAAGATCAATAAAATCAATAAGCCTTTAGCATAAATATAAAATGCAAAACTGTAAAACTAGATAATAACATAGAAGAAAACCTAGATTATCTAAGAAAAATGAGAAAAGACACAAATTATTCATATCCGAAATGAGAGAAAGAACATCAGTGTAGATTGCATGGATACTAAAAGAATAATAAAAAAATGATGAACCTGTCTTTGTACACAAATTTGATAACCTAGATGAAATAGACCAATTCTATAAAATGCACAATCTGCCAAAACGTACACAAGAAGAAATAGATCATCTGAATAGGCATATATATTATAGAAACTGAATCAATAATTAATAATCTTCCAAAACAGAAAGTGCCAGGCTGAGATGAGTTTACTGGTAAATTCTACCATGTATTTTAAGTAGAAATTATGTCAGTTCTCTACAATCAATTCCAGAAAGTAGAAGCAGGAGGAACACTTTCGAATTCATTCTATGAGGCCAGCATTATCCTAATAACAAAACCAAAGACATTACAACAAAAGTTGCAGATTAATTTCTCTTATTAATACAATGCAAAAAACTTAACAAATACTAGAAAATTAAACACAAAATGTAAAATGAAGTATACAACATGATCAAGTAGGATTTATTCCAAGTATGCAAGGCAGTTTCAACTAAAAACCAACTAATGCAATCCACCACATCAACAGACTAGAGATGAAAAATAACATGATAATATCAATAAATACAGGAAAAGCATATAGGAAAATATAACACCCATTGATGATAAAAACTCCCAGAAGACTGGAAACACAGCTGAAACTTCTTCAATTTGATAAAGAATATCTATGAACAACCTGAAGCTAACGATGCACTCAATAATGAGAAACTTGAAGGTTTCTTGCTAAGATCAGGAACAAAGAAAGGATATTCCCTCTCACTATTGCTTTGCAATATAGTACTAAAAGTCCTAGATAATGCTGTAAAAAAAGAAAAGGTAAGCAGATTGAGAAAGAAAAAATACAATTGCTTTTGTTTTCAGACCACAGACTATGTAAAAATTTAAAAAAATTGACAAAGAAACTCCTGGAACTAAGAGTTATTATAGTAAGATTGCTAGATATAAGGTAAATATACAAAAGTCAATCACTTTCTTCTATACCCACAATAAAAAAGTGGAATTTGAAAGCAAAAACATTAGCACCCCAAAATGAAATACATAGGTGTAAGTCTAAAGACATGTGTACAAAATATCTACGAGAAAAACCACAAAACTTCGATGAGAGCTATCAGGAGATTGAGACCATTCTGACTAACACAGTGAAACCCCGTCTCTACTAAAAATACAAAAAATTAGCCGGGCATGGTGGCGGGTGCCTGTAGTCCCAGCTACTCGGGAGGCTGAGGCAGGAGAATGGCGTGAACCCAGGAGGCAGAGCTTGCAGTGATCTGAGATCGTGCCACTGCACTGCATCCTGGGCGACAGCAAGACTCCGTCTCAAAAAAAAAAAAAAAAAAGAATTAAATACACGTAGAAAGATATTCCGTATTGGCAGTAGAAAAACTCAATGTTGTCAGTATGTTAGCTCTTCAACTTGATCTATAGCTTCAATGCAATCCCAGTCAAAATCCCAGACAGTTTGTTCATGAATTGATAAGCTGGTTAAAAAGTTTTTATAAAGAGATAAAAGACCTAGAATGACAATATTGAAAGAGAAGAACAAAGTTGGAGAACTAACAGCAACTTCAAGACTTACTATAAAGCTACAGTAATCAAGACTGTGGTATTGGCAAAAGAACAGAAAAATAGATCAAAGGAACAAAATAGAGAGCCCAAAAATAAACCCACATAAATATAGTCAAGTGATTTTTGACAAAGGAGCAAAGACAGCATAATAGAGCAAAGATAGTCTTTTCAACAAATGGCATTGGAATAAGTAAACATCCACATGTCAAAAAAAAAGAATCTAGACACAGATATTACATCTTTCTGAAAGTAAATCAAAACACATTATAAACCTAAATATAAAATGCAAAACTATAACTCTTCTAGAAAATAACATAGGAGAAAACCTAGATGATCCTTAATATGGCAATTATTTTTTAGACAAAACACCAAAAGCATAATCTATGAAAGACATAATTGATAAGTTGGACTCTAATAAAATTAAAAACTTCTTCTCTTTGAAGGACAATGTCAAGAGAATGAGAAGACAAGTCATAGACAGAGAGAAAATATTTGAAAAAGACATGTCTCATAAATGACTGTTATCCAAAATACATGAAAAAGGTTAAAACTCTACAGTAAGAAAATGAACAATCTGATTGAATAATGTGCAAAAGACCTGAACAGACACTAAACCAAAGAAGATATACAGATGACAAGTAAGCATATAAAAAGATATTCAACATCATATGTCATTAGAGAAATGCAAGAAAACAACAACAATGTACCATTATACTTATTAGAATAGCAAAACCCCAAAACATTGACAATATCCATTGCTGACAAGAATGTGGAGCAACAGGAATTCTCAATCATTGCTAATGGGAATACACAATGGTATAGTCACTTTGGAGAGCGGTTTAGCAATTTTGTATAAAACTAAACATATTCTTACCATACAATATAGCAATTGCATTTCCTTGTATTTACCCAAAGATATTTTCCCAATATTGTAAGTTAAAAAGTATGTCCACAGAAAGACCTGCTCACAGATGTTTACAGAAGCTGTATTCATAATTGCCCAAACTTGAAAGCATTCAAACCGTCCTTCGGTATATGAGTGGATAAATAAATAGTAGCACATCTAGACAATGGGATATTATTCAGTATTAAAAAAATAAGCTATATATAAAGCCATGAAAAGATAAGGAGAAAAGTTAAATGCATATTACTAAGTGAAAGAAGCCAATCTAAAAAATATGATTCCAACTAAGTGACATTCTGGAAAAGCCAAAATTATGGAACTGTAAAAGAGATTAGTGGCTGCCAGACGTGGGGAGCAGGGGAGGGAGGAGAAACAGATAAGTAGGCTGAGCACGGAGTAATTTTAGGGCAGTAAAACTATCCTGTATAATATTACAATGATGGATGCATGTCATTATCTATTTTTCAGAACATACAGAATTTATAACATCAATTGTGAATCCTTATGTATACTGTGGACTTTCACTGATAATGATGGGTCAATGTAGGTTCATTTTAACAAACGTACAACTCCGGTAAGGGATGTTGACAGTGGGGAAGGGGAGATTCGTGTGGATGGGGTTAAGTATATATGAAAACCCTCTGTATTTTCTGAACAGTTTTGGGAGAAACTAAAACTGCTCTAAGAAATATAATTTATTAATTAAAAAATAAATGGAAATTGTAATGCTTACTTGACCATAGAGGTGATTATGTATATTGGAATATGTGAGAGCAATACAAATGTAAATAATTAAGTTGTTGTAGATTCAAGATAATCATAAAATTAACAGGTTAGTAAACACTTGTGTAATTTAGAAATAAAGAAAAAATCCATGACGTAAGATAATATTAATGCAACTGTTTTTCATTAAAAATCATCTAAAAGGTGAGATGATCATGTGCTGGTAATAGTTATGTTGTTGTTCTAGAGAAAGCATTATGAACTTTTATGAAATATTTCTGAGTTTTAAAAAATTGATACTTCCAATTTGGAAAAAGTAGAAAAGGATGTCAATAGAGAAACAGCTCAATGATCTTTAAATTGTGTTTGTAGGCCTCCCTTGGGCAATACTTTTGAAAATCTTGACATTCTGAGGTTTTCTTTGTGTATTCTGAAGATCTCTGGCAGAACCAAGCATCAGAAGCATTTCGGACAGCTAAAGGGTTGTAGCCTTTATCCTCAAGGCACATGTCATTTTTAATCATATCTGACTTTTCCTTCATTTTCTAGTCTAAAATGTGACCAGTTTCTAACACTTAAAATAAGTACAGAGCTCTCTTGCTCTGAGATCTATGCTAAATATAGTATAAACACTTTTTCTTTTCAGTGAAAGCTTCTATGTGATTGTCTTTGTTTTTCTCAGTTTTAATTGTTCAAATCTGTTATTCTTAATTATTTTCATCTTGGGAATTAATGATTAATTCACAACCATTTGGAATATGTTTTATGAGACATTTAAACAGCCTACAGATGTGACATGGTATTTATATCAATGTGCATTTTCATAAAGTTTATGTTTCTATTTTAGTTTTCAGCAGTAACTGTTTATTTTAATAAAAATAAATTAACTCTGTTACAAATGGTCTGATAAGGTTTTTCTAGCAGCTTGGTGTGAGGGAAGGAGGCATGGTTTGGTTGACAGATACTCAGTAGCCTGGCTACACTGTTTTGGTGGAATAAAAACTGTTTAACTTGGTTTTTACTCTGACAAACAATTGAGTCTCTACATGCTATATAAAATTATTAAAATCATGTCAGATTGTTGGTTATTGTTAATTTTAGGATTTAGCTCTGGAGAATCAAGAGATAATGTTAGGGTTTAACAGCATCTCTCTATTGTTTTTGCATAATCTGAAATAAGGAAAATCAGAGAGAAGATGAGCAGGAGAGTCAGAACTATGGAGAAGCATTTGAGAAAACATATATGAATAAAAGGTGTTGATAATTTTGATTAGATGAGTATGTAGTATCAGGATAATAGTTCAAACAAAAGTTAACATATATGAAATCTGAGAAGATTGCTGCTCCATTGGTTCTTTATTTCTCCAATTACAGGTCATCATATTTATAACTACCAAAGAGTTCTGGAGAATGAAGTGAATGTCCTGGTGGCCTTGTATGATACTCCCAGTTATGAATTCTGAGATAACAGGTTAATCTGGAGTCCTGTTTTTGTAAGTGTTTCATTGGCTTCCTGAGAGCAAGGAAATATAGTGCCCAATAATCAGTCCCCTTAGAATATCAGAGAAAGAAGAAATGACTCTGATAAGGTTATGTAAGAGCTCATCCTGAGGATGGGAGTGGAATGGGGGATTTTTAAGCTTGTTTTCTGACCTGAGACAGTAGCTTATGATCAATAAGGAAAATATTCTGTAACCTTTAATTCTCTTTGATTTTATTTCTATAGAACTCCTTCAATTACCTAATAAGCAAGACGATAAAACTGAAACTTAGGGTGGCAATTTGGAAACTTAATGGTCTATAAGAGTTGGAAGGAAAAAAAAAGTTTCCTTTCTTTGTGGCAGTAGATCTAGCTCAAGAAATGAGAAGTGAGGTGTGGTAGTCTTTGCATTTCGAGAGTAGCAAGAGAGCAAGTCAGCAGGCCTGTTGGAGAGTGAGCCTGGGACGCATGCAGAGCAGGGAGAGCTAGAGGGTTCAGAAGCCCTTTCATGATACTGACGAGAGGGCTCAGAAGCCAGCATAGCCTAGACAACAAACAAACAAACAAATCAACCAAAGCATGTCCTAGAGAATTATCAAATGTTTGTTGAATTGAATTAAAATAGGTAGATAAAATGAAAATCAGTATTGGTTTATTAACTTTAACTATGAAGGTTAGTATTGGTTTATTAACTTTAGGTAAAGTTTATTTAAGGACATTATTACACAGTGCTTAGACTTTTATCCTTTACCTTTGGAGGTGGGCATTTTATGCATCAGCATGCCTAATGCTTGTTAGGGATTAGTGGAATTAACAGAGCATCACCTGGTTGACCTCTGGTGCCCCCTTCTCAGTTGATATTGCCCCAAATCATCTCCTAGAGACCCAGGTTGTAGACTCACAGGATAAGAGTAGAGAATTATCCATTCTATGCTCTATACTAATAAGCTTCCAAAACTTGTATTATCTTTGGAAATCCTTACCTCCTACCTGAAGGACAAAGTGGCTGAGAGTATGGAGGCTAGTTTTCAGTGTTTTATGACAATGTTAAACAACAATGATTTTCCTCCATAATAAACACCTACATGACAGGTTGATGGGTGCAGCAAACCACTGTGGCACATGTATACCTATGTAACGAACCTGTACGTTCTGCACATGTATCCCAGAACTTAAAGTGAAAAAAAAAAAAAAAAAGCTGTATGCCACAAACATACAATAAAATAAAATAAATAATCGCCCAAGGACACAATGCTATGGTCATTTTCTTGATCTTATTTCACACAATTCTTTGAAAAAGACTTGGATATTATTCTTAGATAATTTCTCACTAGCCTGCAAAGAAATTTATAATTTTGAGTTTTAAAGTTTCTATCCTGAAATTTTAGCAAAAAATGTCCCCCAAGGACTGTTGGCAAAAAAAATCTCACATCTCTACTATTACCTTACACTTCTTACCAAGTTAACTTTGTTATGATCAATAGCATCAGATGCTGTATGCCTGGAATTGTTTTTAATAAATCAATTTCCATTATGATGCCCTTCAAATATGGAAATACAAAGTGTTGCTAGCAAAGATAGTCTGCTGGTTTATTAAAATTAAATTTATTAAAATTCAGAGGTTGCTAAAAGAGGAATGTTACTGGCTTATCAACATTTGAAGCTTTCAGTTTTTTCCTACAAGATTTACTTATTATACAAGCACAAAGGATTAGATGAAAGGGGGAAGTTTTATCTGAAGTTGCACAGGTATGCATTATTTAGAAAGGTTGTGCAAATTTGTGTGTAGAGGAGATGAAGTAGGAGTGTTGTTATTGCTCTTTAAAACAAACTGAACTGGATTTAACTTCATTGCCACAGTAAGAAAAGAAAGCCAGTTGGTCAGAGGAAAAAGTCATCAGGAAGAGTTAAGTTGCAGACCTCTCACTTCAGAGAATCTCAACTCATCAGCGCTGCAGCCAACCAGTCAAAATAAGATCTGAGGCTTCCACACAGAGGAGCCCTTCAAAGACTTGCCTTGAAACTGCTGGGTCTCCTCAGATCATTGTTCCTTCAGTGACTTCCCTGGCATTGATATTAGTGTCCTCTGTCCCTGCTGAATGCTGCACACAACCCTGCAGTGGTAAGTGAAACCATACAGAAGTAGACTGTCTAGAACAAGCTGCTCATTCAAAAAAGCAGAATCCAAATGCATATCAAACACAACTTTAACTTTGGAAGAAACCTTACAGACCACGTTTTTATGTTCTCTCTAGTAGAACACCTGCTTTGATCATCCAGTGACAGGGAGCCTATGGACCTGAAAGAAAACAATTATGTTATGTTATGAATGCATTCATTCATTGTTATGTTATTATGAAATATAAGATTGTGTTCTCTGTTATTGATATGAAGTCTTTGTCTAAACTTCTATACATTGGTATGTGCTTGCTTTGAGGTTACCAATTTTAAAGTAATTCTGGTTTTGCTTTTATAAGCACCTCTTCTATATTTTAGGACTGCTCTCACATTCTCATTAAGTATTCTCAATCCCAGTATAAACATTCTAGTTTATTGTAACATTTCTTACATAAAACAGCAACGTCTCTTAGTGTTATAGCCACCATTCTCAAAATTCTGTACAGTTTTATCACAGTTCATTTAAAACATGGTAACCAGACATAAATATAATACATGGTACAGTTCACAGAAGAGGTAAAGCAAAATGGTGGAACAGAAGGCTCCGTTCCTCCCTCAGGGACACCAATTTAACAACTATTGACACACAAAAAAACACCTTCATAAGAGCCAGAAATCAGATGAGCCTTCCTCATACCTGGTTTCATCTTTGTATCACTGAAATAGGCACAGACAACATTGACAAAACAAACAGCCTTGAATTGCCGACGCCGCTCGTCCACCAACCCCAGCAGCCAAGGCATGGTGCAGAGAGCATCTCTGGGCCCTGCGAGTGGGAGAACACAACAATTGTGAGACATTGAACTCAGTGCTATCCTGTTAAGCAGAATGGAAGACCAGACCAAATTCACCTGACACTCACCCATGGAGGGAGCATTTAAACCCGCACTCACCGGAGGATAATTGCCAGTTCCAGAGGTCTGAAATTGACTTCCCACAAACTCTGCCGCCAAGGGCCACAGTGCTCTGTGTCTCTAAGTAAACGTAAAAGGCGGTGTAGGCCATACAGACTGCAATTCTTAGGTAAGTTCTAGTCCTCAAATGAGCCCAGACACAGTGGATTGGGTGGAGGGCACGCGACCTACTGAGACATCAGCCAGAGTGGTTAAGGGAGTGCTGGCATCACCCCTCCCCTAATCCCAGCCTGCTTCAAAAGAGATCCCTTCCTTCTGCTTGAGGACAGGAGAGGTAAGAGTGGAGAGAACTTTGTCTTGCATCTTGGATACCAGCTCAGCCACAGAAGGATAGGGCACTGGTCTGATTTGTGAGGCCCTCATTCCAAGACCTAGCTCCTGGAAGACATTTCTAGACACACTCTTGGTGAGAAGGGAACCCACTACCTTGAAGGGAAGGGCCCAGTTCTGGCAAGGTTCATCAGTTGCTTACTGAAGAGCTCTTGGGCCCTGAATAACCAGCGGCAATACCCAGGTACTATATTGAGGGCCTTGGGTGAGGCTCTGAGTCTTCCCTGCTTCAGGTGAGATACAGCACATCATCAGCTGCGGTGGCTATGGGGTGAAACTCCTTTGGCTTGTGAAAAGCAGAGGTAAAAGTAATGGGGAATTTGTCTTACACCTTATGTACCATCATGGCCACAGGGGCGTAGAGCACCAGGTAGTCTCTTGGGGTCCCAATTCCAGGAATTGACTCATGGATGGCATTTCTGGACTAGTAGGGGAGCCTGTTGTCCTGAAGGGTGAGTCCCAGGCCAGGCAGAATTCACCTTGGGCTTTAAGGGAACATCTGCAATAGTCTTGCGGTACTCCTTGTGGCTTGTGGTAGCAGTGGGTATGGGATGAGGCTCCTCTATTTTTGGAAAGAGTGGGTGCATCTTGTGGTGTGAGTGCCAGCTCAGCTGCAGTACAGTAGAACACCAGGTAGACTTTTAGGGTTTTTGGCTCTGGTTCCTGTCTCCTGGATAGCATCTCTGGACCCACCCAAGGCCTGGGAGAGCTCGGTGCCCTGAAGGGAAGGACACAAGCCTGGTTGGCTTTGCTGCCTGCTGAATGTAGAGGCCTAGGACCTTGAGTGAACATAGGCAGTAGCCAGGGAGTAGTTACAGTATCTCTTGGGTGAGATCCAGGGCTGTGCTGGCTTCATATCTGACCCAGCATAGTCATAGTGGTGGTGGCCACAGGAGTGCTTGTGTCACTCTACTACAAGGTTTAGGTGGCTCAGAACAGAGAGATGAGACTGTTTGTTTGGAAGAAAGTAAGAGAAGCGAACAAGAGTCTCTGCCTAGTAATACAGATAATTCTCCCAGATTTTGTCCAAGATCATCAAGGTGGTACCTCTACAAGTCTGCAAGAATCACAGTATTACTGGTCTCGGGGTAACTCAAAAAGCAAAAACAGCTTATATCACAGCACTCAAGTCCTTTCAAATACCTGAAAAGCCTTCAGAAAAAAGATGGGTAGAAATAAGCCAAGACAATGAAGACTACAATAAACACCTAACTCTTCAATGGCCAGACACCAAAGAACGTCTACTAGCATCAACACCATCCAGGAAAAGATGGCCTCACCAAATGAACTAAATAAGGCACCAGGGACCAATCTTCGAGAAACAGAGATGTGTGACCATTCAGAGAGAGAATTCAAAATAGATATGTTGAAGACACTAAAAAATATTCAAGATGACACAGAAGAGGAATTCAGAATGCTATTAGATATATTTAACAAAGAAATTGAAATAATTAAAAAGAATCAAGCAGAAATTCTGGAGTTGAAAAATGCAATCAGCATATTTAAGAATCAAAGTCATTTAATTGCAGAATTGATCAAGGAGAAGAGAGAATTAGTAAGCTTGAAAACAAAGTATTTGCAAATACATAGTCAAAGGAGACAAAAGAGCAAGACTAAAAAACACTGAAGCACACCTATGAGATCTAAAAAGTAATCTCAAAAGGGCAAATCTAAGAGTTACTGGCCTTAAAGAGGAGGCAGAGAAAGAGATAGAGGTAGAAACTTTATTCAAAGGGATAATAACAGATTAAAATAAAGTTTATTCAAAGGGATAATAACAATAAAGAAAAGTCTGGGACCCAATGACTTCATTGCTGAATTCTACCAAACATTTAAAGAACTAATACCAATCTCACTCAAACTTTTCCAGAACATAGAGGAGGAGGGAATACTTCCAAACTCATTCTACAAGGCCAGTATTACCCTGATGCCAATACCAGACAAAGATATATCAAAAACAAAGCAAAACTACAGGTCAACATACCTGACAAATACTGATGCAAAAATCATGAACAAAATACTGGCAAAACAAATTCAACAATATATTAGGAAGATCATTCATTAAGACCAAGTAGGATTTAACCTGAGATGCAAGGATAGGTCAACATACACAAGTCAATCAATGTGATATATCATATCAACAGGATGAAGGATAAAAACCATATCATCATTTACATTGATGCTGAAAGAGCATTTGAAAAAATTCAACATTGCTTCATGATTAAAAAAACTTAAAGAATTGGGTATAGAAGGAACATATCTCGACATAATAAAAGCCATATACGATAGACCCACGGTTGAATGAGGTAAAACTGAAAGCCTTTCCTCTAAGATCTGTAACATAACAAGGATGCTCACTTTCATCACTGTTATTCAACATCATACCAGAAGTCCCAACTAGAGAAGTCAGACAAGAGAAAGTTATAAAGTGCATCCAAATTATAAAGGAAGAAGTCAAATTATCCTTGTTTGCAGATGGCATAATCTTGTATTTGGAAAAACCTAAACACTCCACAAAATAGCTATTAGAACTGATAAGCAAATTCAGTAAAATGCAGGATACAAAATCAGCGTACAAAAATCAGCAACATTTCTATATGTCAACAGTGAATAATGTGAAAAAGAAATTAAAAATGTAATCTCATTTATAATGTGATAATGCCTTACCAAGGAATTAGTAAAATAAGTGAAAGATCTCTATAATGAAAGCTATAAAACACTGATAAAAAGAAATTGAAGAGGACACAAAAAAATGGAAAATTATTTCGTGTTCTTGGATTGAAAGAATAAATGTTGTTAAAATGTTGGTACTACCCAAAGAAATATACAGATTCAATGCAATCCTTATCAAAATACCAATGACATTCTTCACAGAGCTAGAGAAAACAATCTTAAAATTTCCATAGAACCACAGGTGACACAGAATAGCCAAAGTGATCCTAAGCAAAAATAACAAAACTGGAAGAATCACATTACCTGACTTCAAAATATAGTATAGAGCTATCGTAACCCAAAGAGCATGGTACTGGCATAAAAACAGACATACAGACCAATGGAACAGGATAGAGAACCCAGAAAAAAATCCACACACCTACAGTGAACTCGTTTTTGACAAAGGTGCCAAGAACATACATTGAGGAAATGACAGTCTCTTCAATAAACAGTGCTGGACTAGATACCCACATGCAGAATGAAACTAGACCCCCGTCTCTCAATATATTAAAAAATCAAATCAAAATGGGTTAAAGATTTAAATCTAATACTTCAAACTATAAAACTACTACAAGAAAACATTGAAGAAAATATCCAGGACATTGGCGTGGACAAAAATTTCTTGAGCAACACCCCACAAGCACAGGCAACCAAGGCAAAAATGAGCAAATTGGATCACGTCAAGTTAAAAAACTTCTGCACAACAAAGGACACAATCAACAAATTGAAGAGACAACATACAGAATGGGAGAAAATATTTATGAACTACTCATCTGACAAGGGATTAAAATTAGAATATATAAGAACCTCCAACATCTCTACAGGAAAAGAATCTAATAATCCAATTAAAAATGGGTAAAATATTTGAATAGACATTTCTTGAAAGAAAACATATAAATGGCAAACAGGCATATGAAAAGGTGTCCAAACAATCGTTTATAATCAGAGAAATGAGAATCAAAGCTACAATGAGATATCATCTCACCCTTGTTAAAATGGATTACATTCAAAAGACAGGCAATAACAAATTTGGTATGTTCAGTAAAGGGAGCCCTTGTATACTGTTAGTGGGAATGTAAACTAGTACAACCACTATGCAGAACAGTTTGGAGGTTCCTCAAAAATACTAAAAACTGGCCCAGTGTAGTGGCTCATGCCTGTAATCCCAGCACTTTGGGAGTTCAAGGTGGGCAGATCATGAGGTCAAGATATTGAGATCATCCTGGCTAACGCGGTGAAACCCTGTCTCTACCAAAAATACAAAATTAGCTGGGCATGGTGGTGCATGCCTCTAATCTCAGCTACTCAGGAGGCTGAGGTAGGAGAATCACTTGAACCCGAGAGGCGGAGGTTGCAGTGAGCCGAGACCGCATCATTGCACTCCAGCCTGGGCGACAAGAGCGAAACTCCGTCTCAAAAAAACAAAAACAAAAAAACCCCCTAAAACTAAAAACTGAGCTACCGTATGATCCAGCAATCCCGCTGATGGATATATATCTAAAAGAAAGAAAATCAGTCAATAGAAACGATATCTGCACCCCTATGTTTGTTGCAGCACTGTTTACAATAGCTAAGATCTGGAAGCAACCTAAGCATCTATCAACAGATGAATGAATAAAGAAAATGTCGTACATGTACACAATAGAGTAAATATTCATCCTTAAAAGAGTAAATATTCATCCGTAAATGAGTAAATATTCATCCTTAAATGAGAATGAGATCAGTCATTTGCAGCACCATGAATGGAGCTGGAGATTATTATGTTAAATGAAATAAGCCAGGCCCAGAAAGACAAACATTGCATGTCTTTACTTATCCGTGGGATCTAAAAACCAAAACAACTGATGAACATAGAGACTAGAAGGATGGTTACCAGAGGATGAAAAGAGTAGCAGGGGTATAGTTGGGGAGGTGTGGATGGTTAATGGGTACACAAAAATAGAAAGAAAGAATAATATTTACTATTTGATAGCAAAACAGAGTGACTACAGTCAGTAATAACTTAATCATATATTTAAAAATAACTAAAAGAGTACAATTGGATTGTTTGTAACATAAAGGATAAATGCTTGAGGGGATGGATACACCATTTTTCATGATGTGATTATTTCACATCGCTGGCCTGTATCCAAACATCTCATGTACCCCATAAATATATATACCTACTGTGTACCCCCTAAAATAAAAAAATACGTATATTAAAAAAATACACTACATATGATCTGACCAAGATTGAGTGCACAGGTCTAAGTTCATTCTTTCCTCTGTTAGTACAGATTAGGATTTTATGAATGTTTTTGGTAACCAATTGCATATATCGGCTTATATTGAGTTTGAGGTAACTAAACTGCTTATTTCTTTTTCTAAGTGAATTATTTAATTGACTTACTTGAAGAGTAATGCAGAATATTAGATCTATTAAATTTTACCTTGCTGATTTTGGTCTTGATCTTGACTCTTGATAGTTCTGGATGATTTGTCATCATCTGTGTATTTATATAGAAATATAAAACAAGAAGAAATAGTGAGTCTTGCTCTTCCAATAGAAAATAATCTATATGTTGTCTTAATCCTCTTTACATAAGATTTTTTCAAGTGGCTACAAATCCAGGTGAGTTCATATATTGTTCTAGCTTACCTTACATGGACAATTCCTCAGATGCCTTGTTGAAAAGATTGTCATGTCTTTAGAGTATCCATACTGCTTCCTGGTGAGTACCAGCTTCCTGTGTTAAATATTAACAAATCATGTATTTAAAATCCTACTCTAAATGTTTTCATGTATGTGTGTCATAGTTTTGGACCCTCTTTCTAGAATTCAAATTCATTATAAAGAGAATTTGTATTTTATCTTTTTTGAGGCCAACAAGATAGATTTTAAACATAACCAAACTATCATTAATAGCTTTTCAATAGTGATGTATGCAAATTCCTTCCCACACTTTGGACTATATAATTCATGATAAATTGCATGGGGGATTTGGGGCTTGAATCTGAATATAATAGTGTGAATTTAATTGGGGTCTCTTAGAATGTGTGTAATATCAGTTAAATGACTTACATTCTTTGTGACTTGGTCTGTAAGGATGATGAATATGAAAGCACTGATAGCAGTAACTATCAATCTTGAATTTAAATATATTTGCAACATATAATGTACCCATCTTCACACTTTTTCCTAAATTCAGCCAGATAATTAATTTTATGGAATATTGCTGGATAGCATATTTCCTCCACCTCTCCATTCATAGTACCTTTGGGAATAACTACTATTAGTCACAACTGAAATATTAATTAAAGGGAAATTTGGCTAGACATCGTGGCTCACACCTGTAATCCCAGTGCTTTGGAAGGTCAAGGAGGTAAGATCATTTGAGGCCAGGAGTTAAGACCAGCTGGTGCCACGAAGGAAGACCCTGTGACATGGTTTGGATATGTCTCCACCCAAATCTCATGTTGAGTGTTGGAGGTGGGGCCTAGTGGAAAGTGATTGCATCATGGGGGCAGTTTCTAATGGTTTAGTGCCATCCCACCTAGTGTTGTTCTCATGATAGAGTTCTCACGAGATCTGGTTGTTTACACGTCTGTAGCACCTCTTCTCGTCCTCTCTTCCTCCTGCTCTGGCTATGTTGTGAAACACTGGTTCCCCTTTCACCTTCCTGTCATGATTGTAAGTTTCCTGAGGCCTCCCTAGAAGCTGAACAGATGCTGCCATGTTTTCTGAACAGCCTGTAGAACCATGAGCCAATTTAACCTCTTTTCTTTATAAATTACCCAATCTCTATTATTTTTTATAGCAATGTAAGAATAGACTAATACACCCTATCTCTACAAAAAATAATAAAACAGAATTATCTGGGTGTGGTGGTGCATGCCGGTAGTTCTAACTACTGCACTCCAGCCTGAGGGACAGAGCAAAACCCTGTCTCTAACAAACAAACAAACAAACAAACAAACAAACAAAAAAGGTGGTCGGAAAAATACTATCTAAACTATAAAAAATTGATAGCATCATCT